AGCAGAAGAAGTCGTCGCATCATAATCACATGCGTACCGAAGCGAGTCTCGGCGGGAAGCAGCAAAGCCTTCGTCGTGAAAGCTTGCAAAACTTCGCGAGCGTGGCTATGACGCTTGAAAAACTTTGTGACCAAACGCGCCTGAGCAATGCGGGTCGCCACCCAGTCAATGCYGCCRATGTCCTCAAGGATGAGGTCCATGACGTGTGCCMMACAAGGAATCYWGAAGATGTGCTTGACACTCTCATCCTTCTGGAACACCTCCATCGCAGAAACGTTCGAACTGGCAGAGTCTGTGACGAAAGCGGTGATGTCCGCGAGCTTGATGTCAAGGGACTTCAACCTTCGCAGCCAAGCCTGCGCCAGAGCAGTGGCATCCTTCTTTCCTCGCATAACATCTGTCGCGACGTATGTGGCGCCCCGTGTAGTGCCGACGAGATAGTTGCACAACGTTTGGCCCCGAATGTTGGTCCAACCGTCTATCATTATCGTGCAACCGTAGGTAGCTGCAGTAGCGAGGACAGGTTTCACACACTTTTGGACTTCCACATCAAGCTCATCCAAAAGTGTGGTACGGATCATGTGATACGTTGGGGGTTTTGGGATGGGGACTCCTGGAACCCCAGGCGRGATGATCAACGTCAACATGCGTTTGAAGCTCTCAAGCTTCACACAGTTGAACGGCATGCCGCTCTCGACAATGAATCGCATGATCTGCAGGTGCCATGCGTGCTCCAGCGGGTCGTTGTAATACGAGGTCACTGCCTGCTGCCTGTAAGTGCCCCTCACTCGTGCACCGGCGCCCATACCTAGCGAATCCCACACCCCGCCCCCGGCCGCAGGTGATGCGGTGGGGCCTGGACTCGGAGCTGCAATGTTGCGCAGATTCTGTAAAGGATCCAGTGTCCCAAAAACACCGTGCTGCGAGGTCGGGCCGTTCACGGACACAGGAGCGGGTGACGAATCCGAAACCTGGACGGGCTCGTCGAGCTGGACGTTTCCCGCACCCTCAGTGGCCGTTGCAGCGGCCTCGCCAACAGGTGCCGAAGTCAAGTCTGGTGTAGGCCGTCGTGTTTGCGAAGGAGGGGGAGGCAACCATGGATACGCAGCGGATTGATGTCCTGTTGCGGGTGCTCCTGCCACGGCCGGACGTGTGTCTGTGCATCGAACTCTTGGGACCTTGTCCCTGTTGCCATTGAACAACGGGGCGAGGCCTGAAGATGTGCCAGCGTCCTTCCCCCACCCACCGCCCTCGACGAAAGCAYGAGTGCCTTGCTCGTCGAACGGCACAGGTTCCCCGACACCTGAAACTGGCATGGTGCCTTGCGCATCAGGCTGTGTTGCCACAGATGGTCTGCCATCAACGGATGCGGGAATCGTCTGACGAAGCGGACGAGGGGGGAGGGGAGCAAGTGGTGCACATGGAGATGGCGCCACTTGCGAGGGGGCAGCGGTCGATGGGGGCGGCGGAACGACGTCATCGGGAAAACGAAGAGGTGGCCATTGAAAAGAGGGATGACCTAGAGGGAGACTCTGCAAGGCCTGCACGGCAGAAGCCAAATGTGCAGGACACTTGGACTGCAAGGCCTGCACGGCAGAAGCCAAATGTGCAGGACACTTGGACATATCCTTTGACCAAATCGCGTGCCACACCGTCGGAGTGGCCACTTGGCATCTATACCCCTCGCCACGAAAAAAGTGTTCCTTCGCCTCATGAGCACCCCCACATAGAGAACGACCGGATAACCTGCACAAACAACGACGACCGTTCTTCCTCTCGATCGCAGTGGATCCATCTAAATAACGACCACGAGCAACGAAATGCCAAACAGGATCATCTCGTTTTCCATCCGCCTTTGGATCCACCTTAAAAGGGGAGTCAAAGGTCTTCGTCTTGTGACCTTTT